GTGGCAAGTACATTTGTGTAGTAGTTCAGTAGAGTCAACTGACAACTATTACTGTATTTCGCTTTACAATAAACCTGGCCAGGCACCTTCAATCCTTATCTGGTTTGTGGTCTTTGGGGAGTCTCTGTGGAGACTAATGCTACATCTAGACTACAAGCCTCTTTCAAAAGAGGGTTTTTCGAAAGATACTTTTGAAAAAGCCTCTTTCGAAAAAGAGCGTCTGGATTACAACCAGTACTTTCAAAAAAGCAAGCTGCTTTTTCGAAAGAGAGCATCCAGACTGCCTGGATGCTCTCTTTTGAAAAAGCACAGTTTGCATTGCATAGCGCCTTTTTTCAAAAGAGCACTTTTGAAAAAAAGGCATTATTCCTCGTAAAACGAGGTTTTCCGCGGTCAAAAAAACTGCCGCGTTCTTCCGATTTACTTTCATCACTGAGCATACACGCAAGCAGCTTTCTGGTTATCATCACCAACAGAGCCAGAGACCTGTGAGGACACCTCGGCAGTCAATCCCGATGGCCCTCCCTGAATAACTACAGTGGGGTTGTTTTGGTTGTAAAGCGCAATGTAATCTTGGGTCATGCCTGAGGTTCTAACATACCATTGCATAATAAACAAACAAACAAAAATAATGAATGCTGTGCATGTCTACACTGTCTGAGAAGGCTAAAGCACTTGCTGAATTATATTGCAATAAAGTGTGCAACTATGTCCTTTTTTTCTTTTCCATACATATTCTTTTCCCTCCACAGAAGACCCATGTCCTAACAAATCTCATCAATACTACTTGGTTTTCTGAGGCAAAGGACTTCCAGCAAGTCTGGTGACATTGGTGGATAGCAGTCCTTCTCTTCAGTCCAGGATGATGGTCTTCAGAATTTAGAAGACAAAACAATCCCCTCTCCCTTCACCCCTGCTGGGAGCAATAGGAAGATGCTTCCAGCTGCTACAGGCATGAAGAGAACCCTTAAACTCTTGTGAATAACTCAGCGAAATTCTAGGGTTCAGGACCCTGGAAAAGTAAGACACACATTTTGTTTTTGATTCATCTGAAAAGAGCACACTGGGGTGCATCTAGACTACGTTTTTCTTTCAAAAGAAGGTATTCAAATTCAGCGTGAATTTGCATATCTTCTTCTGATTGCTTTTCCGAAGGAGGTTTTTTTGAAAAAGCAAGCAGCCTAGATGCGGTTCTTTGGAAAAAAAAAAAAAAAACTTTTTTGAAAGAACGCTGTAAACCTCATTTTTTGAAGAAGAAGGGTTCTTTCAAGAGGGTTTTTTTTCCTGAAAGAACTGAATCTAGACTGCTTGCTTTTTTGGGGAAAAAAAAAAAAAAACTTTCAAAAAAGCGATCAGAAGAAGATATGCAAATTCATGCTGAATTTGCATATCCTTTCGAACAAACAAAAAAAACCCCATAATCTAGACATGCCCAAAGAGTTTGATCCAGTGCCCAATGGAGTCAAGTCTTTTACTTCAGGCACCAAATGCTGGCATTCCCTTTGAGAAAACAAGTCAAAATGGCTTCTCGAGACAGGTGTGGCCAATCAAGAGACCAGAAGAAATGCCTCGTTACGTCACCTATTCCACTTCCACCATATAGTTATCCAATTTCCACTGGAAAGTCAAAAGGACTTATACTATAGGAATTCTCTGTGGAAAGCTGCCTCAGAAACATGGCAGACAGTCAGACAGCACACAATATTTTATGTTCCATTTTGATGAAAAATTCAGTGATGCAAAAGAAAAGCTTATGGACCAGAAAAAAAAAACTATTTTGGACTGTGTTTAGTATTTTGCTTCAACAGTATAATGCAATTCCTAATTCTTACAGGAATCACTACAACCACTATGAAATTCACACCTTGCCCTCTGGAACATAGCAGACAAACAATTTTTTTGTTTGCTTTAAAAAGGTTTTAACTGGGATTAGGTTCCATAGTACAGATCCAGACTGGGATTCTGTCTTCCCTGATATTTCTCAGTTGATGAATGATATGTTGACTGATAAAACACAAATCATAATAGAATGACTAATGATGCAACTGCCTCAATAGCTGGTAGATAATATAAGACATTATATATTTGCATCATGATTGTCTGTCATTTATTCTACAGTGATTGATGGCAAGTCGGGAAGTTACACACTTTTGCACCCCATTCTAGTGGGCTTATGGGGCATCCATGTATTGTGGTATTGTCTTTCTGTCTAAACTCTTACCGCACCCTTACCTCGAAATAGCTTATTTCAAAATGTCCCTTACTCCTTGTGGAATAATGAGCCCATTACATTTCAAAATAATGGGCTTGCTCAAAAGACATGGAGTAGCTATTTTGGGATACTTCAGGTATTCCAAAATAGCTCCGCAGTGTAGACATCGCCTCACTGTTCTAACACAGCTCCTATCCCACAGCTGCTGATTAGTGTTAGAGGAGACTCAAGAGTGAGGTTCTGGTTACTTGTGGTTATTATAGGTGACTTGACATATTTTCCAAAATTGGGCTGTAAGCCCATGTGTCCTACCCAATTGCCAGGTCAGGCAATTACATTGCCTAAATTACCCATTGTAGTTTCAACTGTAAGGTATTCATCACTTCCAAGCCTCAATAGTTGTCTAGCAGAACAATAGCTTTTCACACCAGAGGAGGTTATATTCCAGTGTGTCAAATATGTAAATTCTTTTGGGATCCTATGGAATGAAAGAACACTATGTAAACGCAAAATATTATTCCACTGAAATCAACACAGCTATTCATTAACTAGATGTTCTTTGCCTTGTGAATAAGAATCAGAATCTGACCCTTTACCATTGATGAATGTTTACAGTTAATCAGTTTAATTGAGCCTCTTCATGATTTTGGATGTCAGACAGGAAGCAAATTTCATTTCAGAGTTTGCTGAAGTTTCTAGTATAAGTAAGAAAGGTATTTTTCATGTTACAGCAGAAGGTTTACATGCATTTGTTGAAGCTTTTCTTGAAGTATTAGGTATCCAAGCAATCTCATTTGCTTTTCAGTTGCCCACTTAATACACATTTCAACTTCCATCTATAAGATCCACTGAGAAATAATGCCCACTAAATCCTCTTTTTATCAACTAAGCATGTCTAGTATATAGTCCCAATGTCATCAGTCAGTTCTGAAAATTTAATAACTGCATTCCGCTGTCAAAATGAGTTCTTACTTGAAGGAAAAGGTCAATATGAGAGTTTTCCCCTCCTTTCTATAATATTTCTACGCTTCTGATTTCTGTGAGGTTGAATAACATCTGCCTTTCTAGATGCTAATGCACATAATACAGTGTACTACAATGGACAGATTATTAGCTATTCCTAATGTTCTTACCCAGGCAAAACTAATACTGGCTTCAAAGGTCCTGGTCCTCAAAGGTACTGAGTGCCAGCATCAAAAGAAGAGCTGTATTGAGCTTTTCAGTAGCTAAAAATCACCAGTTGTTACTGCAGTTTCCTTTAATGGGATAATACAATGATCCAGCTCATTCACTGTGTTTTAAAACACTGAATTAGAACTAGATTCTGTCAATTTTGCTCCTGTTGAATAATATCATAATCCACAAATAGCCCCATTGAAAGATCAATGGGGCAGCTGACTCATTGGGACTAAAGGTGGCAGAGTCTGGCCTATAAGGAATAATTATATAGATATTGATCTAGATTCAGATATAGATATTTTAGAGTGCATCTGCCTGTGTCTGTGTGTCTCTGCATGCCCGTTGGGTAAGAACTAGGGCCACCTTCCTCATCTCATAACTTAAAGCAAGGTCAGAGTTTGGTTGTGGTAGGACAAACAGAAGTCCTGGGAGAAGGACAGTTTTCCATAAAATGCAAAGAGAGGGGTTGCTGTTCAGAGGGCCACAATAGAAGGGTGGCCACTGGGGGCAGCCAAGGGAGTGGCCAGTAGGGCTGGCACTCAACCATTGTGCCTGCCAGCACACTGGTAAGTAGCCTCTCTGCCCCAAATCCTTTCCGTCATCCATCGGCCGCAGCACTGGGGTAGATAGAGACCTCTGGTGGCTGTGGAGAGGGAGCCCTGGGGGAGCGAACAGGCCCCAGGAGGGTGGGAAGGCTAGGCGGGTGGGCAGGAGAGAATAGGTCTCTGGAGGATGGGGAGAGAACAAGCACCTGTCCACCAGTCTTCTCATATCTCCAAGGCCCTGCCCTGGAGGACCTGGGCAATGCTGGGTAAGTCTGCTAGTATTTTGTTTATTGCCTTAATCAATTTGTGAATGTAAGATTTTAGTTTTGCATTTACAAATCTCTAGATGTATTGTTTGCATCCAAAATTGCTGCTATTTTGTGCCATCATCATTACATGCAGAAATAAATCTATGATTTATCCAAGAGCTGAGCAAATAATTGAACTGGTGGCTGAAATGAATTGAAATATTTTTTAAATTTTGTTTTCTTAGGTTTTGGGGTTGTTTAGTTTATTTTTTTAACATCAACATCTTTTTATAAAAACCCAGCTAGATAAATTTCTAAACAAAACACTGTTTCAATATGAAAAATCGAAATGTTGAGATTTGAACGTTTGAAAACAAACAGTTCAAACTTTTAAAATTGTTTTATTTTTATTTTTTATTCAGCCAAACCAAACCTCTTCCTGAATTCATACCAAATTGATCAACCTGAAACTGTAATTTTGGGCATTTTTTTTGCCTTGCTATATTGTACATTTATTGCAACTGAGCTAGCTAGATGCACTCTACTAAACATTTGGCCCTTTAACACTAACATATGCCTTTTGTTATTTCGTCATTGCTGAATATAGTTCACCATGAACATTCCCTACCTGACATTTTTTCCTACGTATCAATCTTAGGTCCTTATGTGGCCCCCAATATACTTGGAATTGGAGAGCATCACATTCTTTAATGTACTTATTTTCACAGCACTCTTGCGAGGTATGGAAGTGCTATTATCCTCAATTTACAAATGGGAAATTAAGAGATAGAGACTCATACTTTAACTTCTTGTGTAAAGTTGGGTGAGGTAGAAAAAAAAATAGGAATCAAACTCTTCCCTAATCCCAAAGTTTTGATATCTGGAACAGAAATATATGCCACAGATAAATAAAGTCCCAAAAAGTCAGGTAAGCCAGATTCAAATTTTTTCATCGTGACAGAAGAAAGGAAATCAAGGAAGACATTAATAAGAGGACAGAATAAATTATAGGACAGGAGGAAAGGAAATAAAAGTTAAAAAAATCAACCCACTTACACACAGACAATTGTAAATAGATATAATGAGACCAAGACCACTTTTTTTAAATTTCTTTACTCCCCATTCTTCACATACAATTATCTGGAAACATTCTGTGTATTTTGTCGTCATAATGCTGATTGTTTGTGGTTTTAAAATAAAACATTTCTTTAGTTTTCGGCTGATGACCAATCACAGAACCCTACAGTCTTGGCACTGAGATAGGGTTCAGCTAGGATCAGCAAATAAGCCTAACTGAAATTGAAATGTTCACTCAACATAGCTAGTTATAGACCCATAATGAAAGCGCCAATACACACAGTAATGCTTAAAATGAAAACATTGATTTTCTCATTGTTATATGTTGGGTGAAAAATGATTTGATTATATATTTGGCTACTAATGAAAACTCATTAGCAGAATTTTATTTCTTGCTTATGTGCACCTGCAATCCATTTTTCTTGTCCTAAGGATTGTTTCATTTAGTTTGCAGGCTATAAATTCTATTTCTCGCATTTAAACAGATATTGGCAGTCAAAATTCAGTATCTGTGGTCTGAAATAGCTCTGGGCCATCTTTCTGACAATATGTTCTTTATAGCATTAAACCTCCTAGGATTTGTCTCATAGACTTTAAGGTCAGAAGGGACCATTATGATCATCTAGTCTGACCCCCTGCACAGTGCAGGCCACAAAATCTCACCCACCCCTCCTAGAATAATCCTCTCACCTGTATCTCAGATATTGAAGCCTTCAAATACTTTGAAGACCCCAAGATGCAGAGAATTCTCCAGCTGTGATCTGTACCCCATGCTACAGAGGAAGGCGAAAAACCTCCAGGGCCTCTGTCAATCTATCCTGGAGGAAAATTCCTTCCCGACCCCAAATATGGCAATCAGCTAAACCCTGAGCATGTGGGCAAGACTCATCAGCCAGACACCCAGAAAGTTCTCTATAGTAACTCCTATCATTTATCATCATTTTGTCATCATTTATTCTTACACATTTTTTAAAAAACAACTTACCTCTTAGTTTATTAGTTAATTTTCTTTGTATTTATGTGAGCTAATGATAGATTCTGATATCTTGGTCTGTAGTTTCCCACAATTTGCTTTGTGGATCACCACAAGTCTTCTCTCCATCCTCTTTTCCCTGACAAGCAGGACACGCAATTTCATCTCAGATACTAGTTTTCTCATTGACTGTCAGCAGAGGAAAACAGCTTCTCTGTGGCACAGGAAACCTAGGAAAACAAAATGCAATGGGACTTCCACAATTTTTCCCTGGTGTATGACTCCCACATTCCAGAGGCAAGCTTCCAGTCTCCACTCATGCAAGTCAAATGGCACAAAGCTGGCTAGCTCCATTGATTTGTAGAAAGTGATGTCAATTTACACCAGCTGAGGATCAGGCCCAGTGACAATATTTGTATGAGCACAGACAGCAGGGGTTTATATCACTGTCATTACTATAATCATTATCCTAGCAAATAACCCGTTACTCAACAAAATACTGCTAAAACATATGGTCAGTCGCCTTCTTTGCAGGGATATATTGTTATTTGTTCTTCAATTAATTCTAATACAAATGTAATTTTGTTGCGATGCCATCTGTTTCTGTTTATTTGTATAACTTTTCTGTGTGTGCGGATGCATTTTATAGCCCAGAAGAATGAATTACTGTCCTTAAGAGTATTAAAAACGAAAAACACCTAGGCTTGGTGTACACTACAGGGTTTTTGTGCAAGAAGCTTTTTGCAGAAGAGATCTTGGGCAAAAACTTCTTGTGCAAAAGCACGTCCACACCTCAAAAACGCATCGCAAAAGCGATGTGCTTTTGTGCAAGAGCATGCCCACACTGCATGGACAATCTTGTGCAAGAAAGCACTGATGGCCATTCACAGAATGGCCATCAGAACACTTTCCTTTTCCTGATAAGCTATTTTTACACAAGAATCCCCTGCGGAGCATCCACACATGACTTTTTGCGTAAGAGCTGTAGCACAAAAAGGAGTTATTCCTCATGGGGAGAGGAATAACTCACTGGCAAAAGCCCTCTGTCCTGTCAATTTACCGTATTTTTTTTGTGCTGGTTTTTACGCAAAAATGGCTGGTTTTGTGCAAAAACCTTGTAGCATAGACAAAGCCCTAGTGGTCTCAATTGAAGTTAATGCCATTCATGTCCATGGATCCAGCCCAATACTGGACCAAGACTAAAGCAAATTACTCATTCATGTCTTCATGCATTTCAAAGAAGATGAGCAGTGGTGGTGGTGGCAGCTTCAACCTCTCTAGTGAAGACAGAAGTGGTTAGGACATTTAGATGGTGGACAACGTAGCAAGCTCAAACAATAGAGAAAAAGCCTTGACTCTGAAATCATTCTGCAGAATATGAACAGCACAATGAAGAGCTGAATCTATGGAACAGTCATCAAATGGCAGGCTTAGTGGGAAAATGGCAGGCCTACCGCTAGAGCAGGGCAAAGGAGGCCATTACTCAAGGGCCCAGTGAAGAAGTAGCAGCAGCAGAACCCTGGGTTCTTTAAATTGCTGCTAGAGTTCCACCCCTTCTGCCCCACCCAGCCTCTTTAGGAGCATGGAGCCACACCTCCCCTCACCTTGCCCAGGAGCCTACATAAGCTGTGAGCTCTGCTGTGCCTAAGATATTTTAAAGTTATTTATCCTGGTGTGAAAAGGAGGGGATAAGAACATTCCGTGCAGCACCCCAACACTCGTCTCTAAGATCTCACTGGAATCGAGGAAGATGGGAATGGCCAAACTGGATTACAGTGGTGATCCAAGCAGTCCCATCTCCATCTGTCGAAAATGCCAGATGCTTCCAGAGGGTGGTGCAAAAAACCTTTTGAAATGGACAGTCTGGAATAATGTGTTCCTAGGGGAAATGTCCTCCTGACTCTTTCCATGAGTGGCTGGAATGAGATTTGCTTTAGTTCATGACTTTTCTGAGAGAAGATAATCAGTGTGAAAGCAGGTTTAATTTGTTATAATATATGCAGCTGAGTAGTAGATTTTGATTTCTTTGTTGCCCTTTCATCTTAATATTGTAGTAACATCTCTGGAGACTTGCACAGTTGTTGTAACATGGGTAACATGCGCCACACCAGTGTCAAGCTCCACCCTGTTCCCACTGAGCTTACTGAAAAGCTCTTGCTGACTTCAGGGGGGACAGGATTGGGCCTTTTTGGGCAGGGGGCTGGACTCGATCTCCTGAGGTCTCTTCCAGCCCTCGGATTGTAGGATTCTATATTGTAACAGTTTCCCGGTGACATGCCAGTCATAATTTCTTTAACCGCATTGTGTTAAATATTTTAAACTATTAATTACCCCTTCCCCCCCCACACACACGCTCCTATTTATAGAAAACAACACAATACCAAACACAGCAAAAGGCCAAGGCATTCTAATGGCACTGTTACCAAACCATAGCTCAAAGGGAAGCACCATGTAGATATCTACCAAAGGGACACATCCAGTCTCAGCAGGTTGACGAGGGGCTGGAAAAGAGGGCAGAAGCCTTCTTTGGTAGGTAGTCCTGGGCCTTTTTTCAGCAGCTAGAATGAAAGATGAATATGGTCCTTATATTCTGGTTTTCTTCCTTGAGGAGAACCACCAAACTGATAAAGGAAGGGTCCCTGCAGCATTATGGGATCATATTAGTTATAAGTGTGATCCCGTGTGCATAGGCAAGAGCTATGGCTTTCTCTTAACATCTCCTGTCAGCATCCTGTAGCTGCTCATCTTTTTGAGGTGTCTATATCAAAGGGCTCTAAGGCAAATGCAGCAGCAGGACATTTGGTTCTAGGTGAAGTGAACAGAGTGCAGTTTATTTGGCAGAGTGCTGTACCATGTTTTAAGTGGCTCTACCCATATCTCTCTAGGCACCCAGAGAGGGCAAAGACTTCATGCACTCTCCCATCCCCAGGCCAGTCTGGGTCTGTGGGCAGGGGAGCATGGGAAGTCCTGGTCCCACCCCTTCACCCAAGGCCCTGCCCCTTCAGGGGCAGCCTGGGGCCATTTCAAAAATTTGTGAAGTGGCCCCCACTTCAGAAATTATTGCCTGTCCCTGAACTACACGGTGAGTTCTAGAGATACTAATGTTTCCTATTCTTTCACTTTCCTCAGCCTCATTTTCCATTTTCGAGAGGCAAGATATGACTGGAACAAAAGGAACAAAGGAAAATTTCCGAGCATTTACAGGTTAAGTACATATCACATTGATCTATGTGTCTGAGTCCTGGCTGCCAAGGGTCCCTAGGCCCAACGTAAAGCCAGTGATTCATTGGTTGGGGATCATGGCTCATAAAAAGTGGAGGCAAGAGACACCAAAATTAGACATACTGGTAGAGACAGTGGATGTCGTCAGCTGAAGCCTCGTGTCTTTTGTGTTTGATTTTAGTTGTTGGATTTATTCATTTGCCAGATCAGCAAGCCAGACTCTGATTTTATTTGGACACGTGAATTAGTGGAGTTCCTCTGAATTCACTCTGGCATAGAAGAGATCTGAATCAGTGACTTCCACATGGATTGATAAAATGCTTGCTCTATAAACATCTTCCTATCAATTGACTTCATTAGCTGAGGGTCTGATGCCACTCCTACTGAAGGCAGGAGCAGAGCCTACATGTGTTTGTTAAATGTTAATGTTTCAATTAAATCGATCTTTCACTTAAAGAAAAGTCCAGAAAAAGACTCAAATGAAAGCAGATACTGAAATATAAAAATGGTGAGGTTTTTGCTGCCTCTTAAATCAGACAGACTAGCATGCAACTGCAGTTCTCCTGAACTCTGCAGATTAAATTCCCTTGCTGTGATGACCACTATGAATTAGTGAAACGTTAATCTTCCTTCCACCTGCTGTGTGTGTGATTATACAGAAGTCTAATCCACCTGGTCCTGAAAGAAAGCAATTTCTGTTTTTAGTTTATATTTCTTTGTTGCCTGCTTTACTTCTCTTTTGGACTGTAAAACTCCTTACCCTACATTTTAAAGCAGAAATAAGAATTCAATTAAAATGTGTAAAGGGAAGCGATGGAGGCCGATAGTAATTGCTTTACAGCAGATACCACAATTGATGCTCTGAGGATTTATTTCAAAGCACAGAAGTCAAATTAGAAAGCTGGCTTTATCTGGATTTGAGTTGCTTTGATGAAGTCACTATGTCTTTATGTGTCTTGGTTTTTAGCTAAACTGTTTTTAATGAGAATGTTAATAATTGCATTAACACTAAATCATTTTATAGACACAAGAGGATGAAATGCAAATTATGCCTTTCACTTAAATATGTGTACAACAAATGCATCCACTCTTTTGCAATGAACGATTTGCAGAGCCCTAAAACAAGTTACGAGGGAAAAGAGAATTCATCTGTTGTACTACTGGTGAATAATGAATATTATCAAACTCAAACATAGTTGTTTAATATATTAAAGGCAAACAGAGACTAAAGAGCCAGTCTGGGTCTGTGGGCAGGGGAGCATGGGAAGTCCTGGTCCCACCCCTTCACCCAAGGCCCTGCCCCTTCAGGGGCAGCCTGGGGCCATTTCAAAAATTTGTGAAGTGGCCCCCACTTCAGAAATTATTGCCTGTCCCTGAACTACACGGTGAGTTCTAGAGATACTAATGTTTCCTATTCTTTCACTTTCCTCAGCCTCATTTTCCGTTTTCGAGAGGCAAGATATGACTGGAACAAAAGGAACAAAAAAGAAAATTTCCAAGCATTTACAGGTTAAGTACATATCACATTGATCGGAAAATTTCCGAGCATTTACAGGTTAAGTACATATCACATTGATCTATGTGTCTGAGTCCTGGCTGCCAAGGGTCCCTAGGCCCAACGTAAAGCCAGTGATTCATTGGTTGGGGATCATGGCTCATAAAAAGTGGAGGCAAGAGACACCAAAATTAGACATACTGGTAGAGACAGTGGATGTCGTCAGCTGAAGCCTCGTGTCTTTTGTGTTTGATTTTAGTTGTTGGATTTATTCATTTGCCAGATCAGCAAGCCAGACTCTGATTTTATTTGGACACGTGAATTAGTGGAGTTCCTCTGAATTCACTCTGGCATAGAAGAGATCTGAATCAGTGACTTCCACATGGATTGATAAAATGCTTGCTCTATAAACATCTTCCTATCAATTGACTTCATTAGCTGAGGGTCTGATGCCACTCCTACTGAAGGCAGGAGCAGAGCCTACATGTGTTTGTTAAATGTTAATGTTTCAATTAAATCGATCTTTCACTTAAAGAAAAGTCCAGAAAAAGACTCAAATGAAAGCAGATACTGAAATATAAAAATGGTGAGGTTTTTGCTGCCTCTTAAATCAGACAGACTAGCATGCAACTGCAGTTCTCCTGAACTCTGCAGATTAAATTCCCTTGCTGTGATGACCACTATGAATTAGTGAAACGTTAATCTTCCTTCCACCTGCTGTGTGTGTGATTATACAGAAGTCTAATCCACCTGGTCCTGAAAGAAAGCAATTTCTGTTTTTAGTTTATATTTCTTTGTTGCCTGCTTTACTTCTCTTTTGGACTGTAAAACTCCTTACCCTACATTTTAAAGCAGAAATAAGAATTCAATTAAAATGTGTAAAGGGAAGCGATGGAGGCCGATAGTAATTGCTTTACAGCAGATACCACAATTGATGCTCTGAGGATTTATTTCAAAGCACAGAAGTCAAATTAGAAAGCTGGCTTTATCTGGATTTGAGTTGCTTTGATGAAGTCACTATGTCTTTATGTGTCTTGGTTTTTAGCTAAACTGTTTTTAATGAGAATGTTAATAATTGCATTAACACTAAATCATTTTATAGACACAAGAGGATGAAATGCAAATTATGCCTTTCACTTAAATATGTGTACAACAAATGCATCCACTCTTTTGCAATGAACGATTTGCAGAGCCCTAAAACAAGTTACGAGGGAAAAGAGAATTCATCTGTTGTACTACTGGTGAATAATGAATATTATCAAACTCAAACATAGTTGTTTAATATATTAAAGGCAAACAGAGACTAAAGAGACTGTTTCATGGTATTTTTTCTGATGGATGTATTTAACAAATGTAGGACTTGGAATTTCCACTTGAGTATGAAGGTGAAGTGAAGGTTGTAGGCCTGCCCATAATAGTTGTTTTGAATGTGTATTAGTTTGCAAGGTTAGTAGATTTCCTTTTTAAAATATATGCTAGAAACCTAGGAAATTCAGATATAAGGTTGCAAGAAAGCCAAACCTTGAAAGTATGGAAACTCACATACTCCTCTGCCACCCTCCATAGCAATGCCCTGGAACCACTAGAAAGTCACACTATCTTATCCAACCCTGATGAACAGTTTTATTTTATTAGTGACCACAAAGACTAGAAATGCCGTAATCTTAATTACACTGTGGTTGGGTTGCCTTATGACCTGTTTTATAGTGATACGCAGTACATAGTCAAGAATTTTACAACTCTCTGATTAAACAATAAACTATCAGATTGCCTGATTCTGTGTGGCTGCCAATTATTGTAGTGTCATTAGACACAGATCTAATATTACTCTATATACAAACCTAATAAGCCCAGAGATGTAGGAAGCAAATTATGAAGCTAATGTTCTGTAGTGAACATTTTCAATAAGCTGCATACAAAGAACAGATGGTATGCTGGGATCACAACGGGGGCAGAGTTAAGGTAGCTGAACTACCCAAAAAGTGCATTTCCTTACTTTCACCAGTCAGGTTTTTTTTGCAAGCTTTAGCCAGAAGTCTGAATTTCCTACACTTCTAATTTTTCAGAATTGTTTATATTTTAAGGCTATTGTTCCTTAAAAATACATTCTGAATTTTTAATATATACCTGAAACTTTATTTCACTTTAAAATAAAAACACATTGATGTTTGGGGATTTCCTTATTAATTGTCCTAAATTGGTCTGGAACTTGAAGGAGTTTGGAAATGGTGGTGGGAGGATTCCTGATGAATGCAGGAGAGGCTTCTCACTAACGAATACCTCCTAAGATCCTTAGGACAGCCTGTTTTCTGTGGATACCAGGGCTATGTCTAGACTGCAAGCCTCTTTCGAAAGAGAGCGTCTAGACTGCACGCGGAACTTTTGAAAGAGCAAGCCGCTTTTTCGAAAGAAAGCACTCAGTGAGTCTGGATGCTCTCTTTTGAAGAAGCCCTATTTACATTCAAGAACGCCTTCTTTCGAAAGAAGCACTTTCGAAAGAAGGCGTTCTTCCTCGTGAAATGAGGTTTACCGCCGTCGAAAGAAAAGCTGCATTCTTTCGATTTAATTTCGAAAGAATGCGGCTGCAGTCTAGACGCAGGTGAAGTTTTTTCGGAAAAAGGCTACTTTTCCCGAAAAAACCCCTGAGTCTGGACACAGCAGGATGTGCACAGCAATAGAGTTCTGCCTGGATAAATCCAGCAATTCAGCTGACAAACCTCTCTGGCCCACAGCTCTCTCTGCCTCTCTCCTTTTGGCTTTGGCTAGCAAGTGGACCCAATCCAGAGCTTTTGGAGACTTACCACATCATTATCCCCTAAGATGGGGAAAGG